TATCCGACTTGTTTGATCGACCAAATGTGGAAGAATGTGGCAGATATCCACCAATAGGACCGGGTGAACAAGATATTGTTGCTGAGATGAGTTCTACTTCTGGCGTTCTGTATTCATAGCATCCCAGTCTGTTTGGCAACTCGGTGGCCACCGGATTCCGGCAGCAGTGGAGAATGGACATGAATGGACCATTTTTTTGCAAACAGGATGCATGAGGGTTTGACTGCGGTGCACTTGCCCAATAATCCCTTAATATGTGTTGTTTACCATAATAATATGAACATATTTTGATCCAACGATCTTCAGAACGTTGTTGGACCCTCCAAACCTTTTTGTCCGGTACAAATGCGAGCCACTGGCAGTCAACTTGAGCCACTGGTGGCCTTCCTGGAGCCTCAAGAGGAGCCTCTTAGGTCAAACCATAACCAGGTGAGATCCCGACTGCTGTGGCTTTGGAGTCTTTACCAAGTGACATGATGATTCTCATGTTCTGAATTCTGCGAATCTCTGGGTGAAACCGTTGAAACCAAGTTCACCAAGATTTCTAAGAACTATAGGAACTTATAAGGCGGTCTTTTGCTCATGAAACCGCTCCGCTCAGGGCCGTCGGACTGCCATCGCCATGTGTTTGAACATCGACACTCCATGATCTTTCCCACTCCATGCCACCTGGATGTGGCTCAAAAATGGCACCTTCAATGTTGACCCTCAAGGCCTCATGTTGCCAGGTGTTAACTCATGTTGCCGATGAAGAAGCCGACCAGTTGTAAGCCATTGTAAGCCTTTCAGGCCCTATTTTGGTGTTATTTTGTTAGCTATCCAGATGGTTGAGTTCTTTTTTTGGTTAACAGATCTTAACTGGTTATGTTTGCCAGGAGACTCTGGTGTAAGTCAAGTAATGCTGAGTGACAAAAACAAGGAACATAACTATACTGTACTACATGTGAAGTCCATCGGCCTGACAGTTTGCAGACGCCATGGCAATGGAACTGTGGTGCAGGCAACTGAATGGCGAAACATTTGCTCTTGAAGTCACACCTGAAATGACAGCCGGCGAACTCAAGCAGCGGATCATAGAGCGACGATGGCACGATGCGCTAACCCGCAAAACAACTCTGGTGCAGGTTGTTGTTGCAGATGGTAAGCTGCTGAGAAATGATGCAACGCTTGCGGATGTGGTCCTTCCAGATTCATATGTGACCATAGTCTTCAAGGACAATGCAGTGGCAGTGACATGCTCCAACAGAAGGGAGCTCATCAGTCTCTTACCCGACGTCAATCAATTCAAACCATTGGGAGACAGCCCTGTGGTCAAGTTGACCATCCCAGAGTACATGACCAGCATTCTGCACCTTGCCTTTCAAAATTGCCCGTCTTTGGCAAGCATGACCATCCCCAACTCAGTGATCCACATCAATAAGCGTGCCTTTCAAAACTGCGTCTCTTTGGCAAGTGTGACCGTCCCCAACTCAGTGACCCATGTTGGTGATGCTGCTTTCGAGGGCTGCAGCTCCTTAGAATGTTTGTCCATCTCCTCCTCAGTGAATGTCATTCCGAACTGTGCTTTTCGGAACTGCAGCTCTTTGGCAAGTGTGACCATCCCCAACTCAGTGACCCGTGTTGGTGATGCTGCTTTGAGGACTGCAGCTTCTTAGAATGTTTGACCATCTCCTCCTCAGTGAATCTCATTCCGAACTGTGCTTTTCGGAACTGCAGCTCTTTGGCAAGTGTGACCATCCCCAACTCAGTGACCCATATTGGTGATGCTGCTTTCGAGGGCTGCAGCTCCTTGGAATGTTTGACCATCCCCTCCTCAGTCACTGCCATTGGGGCTGACGCTTTTCGGGACTGCTGTTCTCTTTGGCATGTTGAAGTACCTACCTCAGTGGCCCACATCGGGGACCGTGCATTTAAAGACTGCATGTCTTTGCCTGCTTTACCATCCCCGAGATAGTCTGTACCTGACAGATTGCTCTTCAAAGTGTGAGCCGACTCAACGACCGAGACGACCTGTATTTCTGAGACGGCTAGCTGTGTTTGCATCATAGTGGTGGTGCGGGTCGATAGTACCAATCGCATGTGTTGTCCTTTTTCGTGTTGAATCTCATGAATTACAGCTCGTTTGCTTCATAGTTGTGTGTGTTTGTGTGTCAACGACGAACCTTAGCTAAGATAAGATATGACATGATAGGATAGGCGACAGGCGATAGGCCTTCCATAAACGTTTCAGATTTCAAACCATTTGTTGATCGACCTGCTTTGAAACAAATAAGTAGATCTTCTCAACAACTGGAGTTCCATGACTCCCTGGCCACTCTGGTGGCAGAGGAATTTCCTGGATTCGAAAAGCGCCCAGTGGATTCTTGTGGATCCACATGATTACTCTTAAAGCTTCCAGAACAAGGAATCCTCTCAGGACAAGTGGAGCCGTTAGAGCAGCAATTGGTTTAAATCAAAACACTTGGATCCACTGGGAGGCCGTGAGTGTCGGAGGATTCCGACCGAGTTCCAGCACATCGCATGGACAGGGTGAACTGGATCTTCTTGCGTTGACTCACCGCGGGTGGACGCGGAGGAAAAGCGGAGGATCAACGGTGTGTCATGGTTCCATGTGAGCAACTAGACAAAGTATGTCATGTTTCGCTGATGTTCTGTTCATTCCATTTCATTTGGGATTGCGCAACGGGTTCCGGAGTTGGGGTGTCCAAATGACATCAAAGTGACACTACTCAGAGAAAGTAATGTTGCCTCTAAAACAAGCGAAAAGGCCTGGTTAAACCAGGATGGTTGGGTGTGCACATCGCATACAGAATCTTGGCTTTAAAGCTTGCCCTCAAAGTCTTTGCTGCAGGCTGGCCAATCCTGATAGCCAGATTCTTGTGTCATGAAAGCAAGTTCATTGCATTGGTTCTTTGTCTATGGTCAAACCAAGGTGGCAAAGGCATCGAGCGGCTCAGTGAAGTTCTACCCAAGAAGACCAGCTGTCAGGCAGCTTGTTCACCCTGCCAGAATCAGAATGCCTAAGATCTCATAGAAGTGGCTCAAAGATTCTCACAAAATCGCTCAAGAATGCTATGTAGCTGGTAGACGATGCTTTTCTTGATTCCCGGCACTAGACCCTAACATCATGAGGCGGTAGACGCACGCACCACCACCACCACCACCATCGGACCTGACGGCCGGACTTGGCAGGCCGACCGGGCGCTGGACTCTGGCGCTTTGCTGGCCCTCGCGCACGGAACGGTGGCTCTTCTGGATGTGTTTATGTTCTTCTTTTTTCCGGTGTTACCATTGAAACGTCAAGACAAGGGAGGCTCAGTGCGAGGACCAAATGTTCTCACACCAAGGCATCGAGGCAGCATTGGTGCAAACAGCAGAATGACCAAAGAGTTAAAGCCTTTTGGTTCCCGGCTATTTGCCAGACCATTTGCCAGACCGCGCAACCCGTCACGAACCTGGACGATTAAATGACAAGACATCCCAAAATATGCAAACACGTCAGATTTACGAGATGTGCCACAGCTGACAGACTACGTAAGGAAAACATTCGCACCTCTACTATTCTTACTATGTTATTCATGGCAAGCAGGGCCGGGAGGGGTATCAGTGGTTCATTGTGTATCAGAGTCCTTTTTTGATCACTTAACATGCCGCCTCCCAACAGCAAATCTGCAATCCAATGATGTTTTCAACTTGGTTATGGTTGCCCCCCCAAAAATGACGTTTGTGTATGTTTTGATTCGAATTGATTGGATATATGTTTTGGTATGACTAAAGATAGAAATCCAATTTCCGACTACGTCATAGACTCAAAGTCTTTCTCGAACATTCCTGCAGGTTGTCATCCCTTGTTCTCCACCACCAGAACATTTTAAACATAGAGACTACCTACAAAGGGTTAGGGACTCAGTTCTGCAATCCCAGTTAGGCAATTCCAGTTTCTCAGGATCTCACTCTTGGAACTCGGTCGGGATCCTGAATTCGACCACTCTGAGGTTGTCAGTCCTATCGCTGAGGAGTGCCACGGCCAGCGCGTGATGTTGAAGAAAAGCACGGTGTCCGGCGACGAGATCGGACGTGGAACTGTGAGTCCTTTTTGGGGGGGCAATCAATTCCTGTCTATAGTGGTTGTTCAGCGATTCTTGGTTTATCGTGTGTATATGTTATGTGTGTCATTGTTTTCTTGGTTGTGTGGGGTATAGTGGGGTTGATACGAGTTTTCACCGAGCATTTGATGTATTCGCGCTTGGTTAGTTTCTATCCTGCAGCTAGTCATTGTTGTTGCAGGTGTTGGTTCTGACGGTTTCTGGGTTGGCTCCATGGAGGTTGATTGAGGTTGATCAACTCCCAAATTCTCCTGTCAGTCCACATAGGGATGCATGTTAGATCGAAAGTCAGCCTCAACTGCTCAAGTGGGGTTTGTCCATCGTGGACAGGTTGTGTTGATCACTAAAGGTACAAGTGCTGCATTACCAGTGGTCTAGCCAGATTCTTTGAAAGCTTGCTTAGATGATCATTGAACAATTTGTTCCTTTCATCAGGATGTGTACGGGGTACTTCACTTTTGGTGGATCATTTGCCAGGTTGCACGTGCATTTGTTTGAGCGGTACCCAACTGGTTGTGTGATGAATTGGCTCCCAGCCCAGATGCACAGCCAAGAGGAACGAGATCAGGCACCAAGAGCAGCTCCACCGAAGCGATGCACATCCACGGCATGGCATCCATTGGATACATTGTGATTTCCCCAAGCTTTGGAGGAAACAAGTACTGTAAATAAATCCCATTGGTTTGGACCGGAGGCAAAGGAGCAACTGGATGACTTCCAAGGAAATCAAAGACAACATGTAAATATTGCAAGTAATAATGCAATATCTCAATGCTCACTGGCATATTGAGACTTTGTTGGTTTCTTGGTGGCCCTATGTTTGTTGCCTTTGTGGGTCCTTTGCTTTGGTAGACCTCCACCTGGGTTGCCGGCATATCCTCTAGTGCGCGCGGCATGGTGGCGAGTAGCGGCGAAGATGCTGGGATGACCATGGAACAGATGATTGCCATGAAGGCTGACGTTGGCACTGACTGTCGTGACTCTTGTTGTTGTGGTGAAGGGATGTGCCACTCAGTGAAGACCTTAGACCTGGTTCTTCCCGCGTTTGGTGTTCCAGTCTCGGTCACTAGCTCCAATTGAATGAACAACTCGTTCTCTTGCATTGATTTGGGACGCCACAGCTCTGAAACCGGTTGAAGCGGGGCGGAACCCGGCGGGATCGAATGGGACAAGGGGTGGGTGCCAGGAAGGTTTAACCACCGAACCTGAGGATATGGGACAGGGAGCTTTAGGGTACGAACTGCAAGACTGGTCTGGCTTCTCACCCATTTTCAGTAGGGTCCTTCCATTTCCAGATCTTCCAAGAGAGTCCACGGTGTGTCCTGATGATGTCGGACATTCAGGGTCGACCCTTTGTTGTGTGTGTCATGAACTTTTTGGGGCATGACAATGGCAGCCAAATCAGGTCCGTTGAATCAGAGTCAACGGAAAAAGAAGAGAGGTAACACCATTTATGGAGTTGGGATTAGAACGTACTGATAACAAGAAGCTGAGGTGTCACCCTTCAGGGGTCTCCATATCAACCCATCTAGAGGTACCCATCATTTGCGAGGTACCACAGATCCCCGGTTCCCCGGTTTCTTTTAAGCCTCCGGTCTGAAAGACCGTCGGTGAGTCGGTGGTGTGATGTTGTTTGCGCAGCATCCGGTGACCCTCCACACAATGTTTTAAGTGTCTAATGGGATTTGGATGTTCTGAATTTTTTGATTGTTTGATTTTGTCTGACTTTTTGGATATGATGGGATTTGGTCCAATAGGATTTGGTTTGTGAATCCCATGGTCGATGTGCCTGGAACTGTAAAACTGGACCAGAGCAGAGCGGCCAGAGCTTTATCATCCGGCGAGTCGGATTTTTACCTTTTTTCGCCAGGAGGGCCTTGAAGCGCAGATCAAGGCCATGAGCAAGCCTGCGAAAGTGCGGCTCACCTTCAAGTGGTCAATTTTTGCGAATTTGGGTAGTTGTGTTCAGCAACTTATCAAACTTAAGGTGCCAGTTATCTCCCTGTGGTTGCAGGAATCTTCCTTCCAATAAGTTAAGTGTACCTGTGAATGGCCAAAGTTTCTGCAAACATGCTGTGGATTCTGTGGATGTTCGATTCCTGCTGTACTTGGGCCCTTCACGTTTTGTGATAAAAACCAAGGAATGCCGGCAAGTTCAGCAGCAGAACGATGGCCAGAAGTGGCATCGAGGAGGAGTTTGGGTGACCAGGTCTTGGATGTCAGTGTTTGCAGAAATTCTTGACTGTGATAGGTGGCAGAAAGAGAACAATCACTGCAAAATCGCAGCATGTATATCGGACAGGTGCTAAATTTGGATGAGGAATTCCCGAGTCAACATGATTGAAGTACTGTAACAATGGGACCCAAATATATACCAACCAAGAAGGTTCATGACACGCGGGCGCACTAAAGCCCTGGGACTTGGAGTTCAATCGTGTTTGTTGGCAAGTGCCAACGTGTTTTGCTGTTGGTCTACCTCAGGCGTTCACAAAGCCATGGGGTTTGGGCCTGCAACGAACAAATCATAGTTCTTCAATTTGGCTTCAGTCATGCTTCATACATGCCTTTCAGCCTTGCGCCACAATGCAAAGGTTTTGATGATAAATGAACCTTTGTACACAATTTATAATTGGTTTGTTCTTCCGTACTGCAGTGCAGGCACATTGGGAACATTTGGAGAAAAAAACAACACCTCAGGCCAACGGACCAGAAGAAACGATTCAGGTGTCTTTGTTCATCACACCGTGACTGTTAGTCGGGGGACTTGATTATATATATATAGCCACCCCGTTGTCACAACTTGTGGGTCCTTAGAGTGGTTTGTTACTTTACTCCACCCTTTTCACCCACCACCGTTTTCATGAATGTAGTGAGTGTGTCCCGTGATCTGCAGTCGAGAAAAGATGATAGGGCATGATCACGATCTTTTTTATCCTCACCATCATCACCCACTGTTACTGGGCATGAGATATACCCAATGAATGTGTCATGTTGACCGGACAGCAGCGACAACTTCTTCGGGGCCCTCCAGGAAGAGCCTCCGCCGCGACGGCTCAATGTGGGGCAGATGTGCCCAGTCTGCAGTATATTGCCGTGGAGATCTTGGGGAGCCCCTGTGTTGATGCCAGTTTCGCGAAAAGCGACACGAACATATTTTGAACATCACGCGCTTTTTTCAACACCCACAGGAAAGTCAGGCTTTGCTGGCAAAAAGGCTTGTCGAAAGGCGTGCTCGAGTTCTGAAAAGCTCCGATGAAAAGACTTGTTTTCGGGAAAATGGCAGAGGAAGTCCAATAACCGACCCTGAGCAGTTGCTACATGTTGCTACGGAGCGAAGCGTTGACCTGTTCGCCATGTCAGATGAACCATGATGAACCTAATGCACCGTTAAGTTAAGGATGTTAAGGGAACCAGATTGGCTGAATCCCAAGGTCAAAGGGGTGTCTTCACCTTGTTGGCATTCGAATGATGGTACATGATGGTACCTTATAGTTCCACTTGTTTCTTGGCAACTTTCCCAGCAGCGCTAGTCGAGGTAATCATATAATTATATATATATATATTTATTTACTTAATCATATATACCTGTTAAACCATTTCCCTGGGAATTGTTGGAGCAAATCTGCATTTGTATGAATTCATAGTATACCACAACAATTGTTAGGGTACCGGAAGAATAAGCGTTCGAAGGCGACAAAAGCCGTACGTACCCGAAATCTTGTGTAGAAACCATTGGAACCAGGGCACAGTAGAGGCCTCAAAGAGCATATGAGGTTTCACACATGGTTCTGATCACATTTGTGCCCCGGAGACTTATGCATGCTCTTTGTCAGGAAGAGGGCGCAATGATGCGCAACGCATGCATCATCACACGATGAATCATGAACCATGCCGTAGTGGTTTGGACATCGTGCATCTACAGGTGCATCTCTTTTGGTCATGATTTTTTGGTCTGGAAGTGAATGTTCAACACTCCCATTTCGGCAATGGACATGGGCCTGCTGGTCTTTTTTTGGAGGCTGGGCGCGAGCTAACCGGGTGAAACAACAAGAAATATCAGCTTGAGCTTTAGCTCACGTGTGTTGATGCCAGCTGCCAGAATCATCAAAAAACTTAAGATGAGAGTGGTTGGTGACAGATTGCTCGATTTTCCTTGAATAGCAGCAGCTGCCTTGCCACTCACTGTGCTTCCTCCTGAAAAGCTCGTCTTGGCTTCGAGAGGGCTGATTTGTAGGACCAGGGACTTCAAATTCAGTCAAGCCATGGCAAGCCCCATGGATGAGATCACGAAGGACAAGAAGGGTGTGTCCCTCGTGGGTGGCTCCATAGATGGTCTTTCTTTAACATGGGACAACATTGCAGCTGTGCGACAACGCATGAGAGATGGTTATAACTTGCTTATCCATTTCGATCCACGACTGAAGCAGGTCTCCAACCATGCAGTCGAGAGGTCCATCAGAGATGTGAAAGTGAACTCGGAGACACTGAAGCCAGTGTGTGCCCTAGTCCGTATTCACCATCGTCTGCCTGGAGTTGACCAATTGCAGTACCAAGTGAAGCTGCTGTACTCCATGAACAATCGTCCAATTTCCCTTGACCTTGCCCACTCACAAGCCTGGGCCATTCGCCATTTGTTGGGGGTTTTGAAGTCTGCAGTCCGACACAACAAAAAGACGGGTGAGAAGAAGTTCCCCAAGGACCAGCCGTTGGTGTCAATATCTTAAGGGTTGATACTCATGATCGACGGCCCAGGTTGTAAGATCTTTGCCTCTGCTCCCATCCCTTCCCTGCTTCCAGGACCCAGCCTTGCAGGCTTTGCTGGTGGATATGGGGGTGCTCGTCACAAAGGAGCCTTGGATGTCCATACACCATGCAAGGAACAAGAACCCAAACATGTGCGAGAAAACTGCAATGTTCTGAAAACCAGGGTTGGTGGTACCACTCATCCACATCGACTTGAAAGCATTTGAAAGCATACCAAAGGAGAGACGTTTGCACCAAACTACCGGTACTGCTATAGAATGCCCTTCCAAGCCAATGTTCACAGGAGGATGGATCAGTGGAGGTCGCCGAGAACCACGGGCTGGACGAGAGTGAAGTTCCGCCGTTGAAGTCGGAGGAGCCATGGGGTATACTGTTCAATTCTACATTATGCGTGTAGGGTTGCACAAGGGGTATGTTTCAAAGGCAGTCTATTGCTTTGAAGTCTTCTGGGTTGGGTAAAGTCATAGATTAACAACTGGCCACCTCAGGAGCAGCAACAAGCATTGGAGCTTGGCACTGCTGGTGACACTGGGGAGACTCTACTTGAGACACTCCAGGAGCAATGGTTATAGCCATTGGCGTGTATGCAAACCTTCGAAACAATGGAATTCCCATAGCTCAACCTGATTCCTTGTGAATAGCCTTGGACTTGCGATTTCCTGAAGGACACCCAACCGCTCTTCGAACACCAGCCCGAGCTTTTTGAGACTCAATCATTGGATATTCCTGCGCAGGACCGATTCTCACACATGACATCATTAGTATACTTTAAAAAAGTCACATTAGATGCCAAAACCAAACCACAAGTTTATAGCCCTGCCATGCCCTGCCCTTTTCAAAAGATCCAGGATTCGAAGCCCAATAGTGGTGGCAACAGCAGCAGCGGTAATGCAGCCCCAGATCTCGAGGCAATGATTCCTGACCAGGGCTTGGGTCGATTGCATGCGAACTAACAAAAATGAGCTGGGTGTTTGGTGGTTTGGGTGTTGGACAGGCGCTCGTTAGCCTCCAAGCTTCATGTGGCTTTGAAACGTTTTTGCTGGGTCTCTGTTTTGTTCGCCTGCAGTTGTGTGGCAGGTGGTTGGCATTGAAGCGGTGGAAGTCGTTTCCTCTCAAGAGGAGGGGACAAACCAGGAGCTGGTCGAGGAGCTTTCATCTTTGCTTGGGAAGATCCAGCTGTCACTCGACCACAACGTTTCAAATAGAATGCCTGCAGCATGACATCCTACTTTCTCTGTTTCTCTCATTGGGGTTCTGACAAGTGGATGATTTTTTCAACTTAACATGTTTCTATATGTGTTTCTTGTGCCTTCTCAGGACTGAAGAGCATGTGAAGTCGTGCCCATCCTTGGTGCGATTGCTTCGAATTCCATCTGATGCCAATGGACGCTGGGCTAATATGGACATCGCAAGGGGGCCTGTTCCACATATTTTACTATGAATCATTGGACCTTTGAAGATGCAACCTCCCACTATAAAAAATAAGGACCGGCGCCGATCTTCATCCCTGACTCCCTTCCTCTAAGTGGCGACAACGATTCCACGCTAGTTCAGCCAAACCCTGAAGATTGGCTTACCTCTCCTTTCATGCTCGGAATGTTGGAGAGAGAAGGACTGGCCTCTGCATCCGCTGCAGCATCGCTGGTGGAAGCTTCGGAGCCACCTGCTGAGCTTGTACAGGACTCTTCCGTACCGATTCACGCGCAAGTATGTTGTGTGTTGTTGGCCCCAACAGGGGTCCAAAGACAGTAAGTGATTGACCTATATTTTCTATCCTATGGATGTTTGTTGGTTTACGCTGTAGCGATTTGAGCCTAGAGTAGATGGCCTCTGGCAAGTCGATAGACCATAAAAGGTTTTCACAAGTTTTTCAATGATTTTCCTGAAAGCAAAACAGGAGCTGCCAGAACCACTCCCAGAGGTTAAGCCAACCGGTGCACGTGTCGCTGATGCTACCTTTGTGGAAGATCCACCCGTCTTTCCTGAGATCGGTGATGAAGAATTGAGCCGGCGTGACCAACTTGGAATGAAGAAGGACAAGAAGAATGAAGGCAAGCGTGGCAGGCCACCAGCCAACAAGAAGAGTGGGGAGGAGGCAATGAAGGAAAAGCAGCCACGCCACACTGCGGCCAAAACGAAAGCCAAGAAGAATGCGCAGGAAAGTGATGAAAAAGATGGCGACGATGCTAAGGGGGACACGAAGCCACGTCTCCGCCGAACCAAGAGGCACCTTGAGGATGACGATGATCAACCTGAGGTTGAGGAGCGTGAACACACTACCCCTCCAAAGAGGCGCCGGCGACTTCGACCTCTTGCTGACTGCGCGCCTACCCCGACGGCCGGGAGTGCCCCTAAGGCCAAAGCAAAGGCCAAGGCGAAGGGGAAAGCAAAGGCTGCTGCAAGTGCCCCTAAGGCCAAGGCAAAGGGGAAAGCAAAGGCTACTGCAAGTGCCCCTAAGGCCAAGGCAAAGGGGAAAGCAAAGGCGTCTAAGTCGAGAGCCAAAATGTCGAAGGAGGAGAAAGATGTTGCCACCGAATCTGCTGCACATGAGGAAGAGCAGCAGAATGGTAAGGGCAAGGGGAAGGGAAAGGCCGCTACAGTGAGGGACACTGGCAGAGTGGATCCCCCTGCCGGTGAGACTCCTGAGAATGCTAACCTTCGTGAAGAGGTGACCCAAGAGGTCTTCAATGCTTTGATGCTTTGTTGGAAGGCAGGAGAGTGTGAGAAGAAAGGCAAGCATGCTCATGCCATGCCTGTGATTGATGGCAAGGTGGCAAATCTCTCCAGTGATGTCTACTGGACCCGCAATGCAGTGGGTGTGAAAAAGAAGATGGAAAACAAGAAGGGCGGCAGCCACATCTGCTACTTTTCTAGGCATACAGCATGCAATGCGAGCAACATCATCCTTGCCAAGCGCTGGGTTTCTTGGCATCGTTGCAAAATGTCAATTTTGCACGCTAAAGCGATTGCTAAATTCTGTTTGCATGAGCCCCGAAAACAAGCCTCTGCACTTGACACCCCAGGTTCAGCAATACCTGAGCATGCCTGAGCCTCGCGATCATGAGAGCGAAGATCTTTTCAGATTGAAGCTCTTGTTGGGGACCGCTCATGATGCCGCACTAGCGGCCTTTGAGCTGGAAAGACAGCCAGAGCCATAATTTTGGGAGCCTCAATGGCAATGTTGCAGGGACCTCAATGTCAGCATATATTGTGGGAAGAAGTGGTTCAGCTGTCTTGGTAGGGGTTTGCTTTTGAGCACTGCGTGAATCCTCGCAATGCCATTTTGTGATAATTTGCCATTTGGT